CATAGTTGCACATCCTTCTAGTCGCTGCATGTGGGACGCGGCCTCAGCATGACCGGACAAGCAGTGCGTTGGTGCGCGCCCGGGGTTCCAAACCCGGGCCGCCAGTAGCGGCGGGCACACTTAACCGCCAAGCCATGGGGCCGGCCCTCATGTTCCCTCTTAATTGCAAAGAACAAGAGCCTCTACTGCTCTTGGGCTATAAAACCCATGCTCAGGCTTGAGATGACAAATTAATTGCATGTTGGCCACATTTACCCTGGATGTTTTCAGTTTGGCCTGCAAGGTTTTGAAATATTGGTTGCCAACACTTAAAAATCAAGAGATTTCACATAAAAATCCAGGTTTAGAATTTCTCTGAGGGGGAAAAAACCAGAGACTATCCGAGAACACTGGACCCACATTCCTGAGGGCAGCAATCTGCCAGAGCTGAACAGCTGCTGCCTTCAGTTAGAGCACGGACACTCCAATTTGCCACATTCCTTATCCTTCCCCATTGTCTTACACCAGGCCCGGTTTACTTATTTGCTTTACTTTTCTGGCCCCTGTAGGCATTTGACTTTAAATACCCTATCTACACCTTTCCTGTCTTCCATCAAAGCTTACTTAGTTCTATCCCAAATCCCTCATCAGTTTTTCAAAGCAATAGCTAGGTAATCTGATCAACTATGGATATTTTTACATGTACTTGCTGGAAATCGTTGTCTTAATAGAAAGGGATGACTCTGCAGATGGAAATTACGGGCACCACGGGCTTACAATCAGGATGGCAACTGTCCATTCTACCTTTTCTGCTTCCAGACGTAGCCATACCTCACTGTCCCCAAGCAAACCAAAGGCACTGGTTCTCTGTAGAATGAACACTGGCCTACGTGTGACACCTACTTAAATGGTACTTTCATAGATCACCCTAGGTCCAAAGGACCAAGGGTTACTAAGGGCTGTTCTGATTCCGTTTCCTCGGAAGCTTCAGGATATCCGGCCTGACGGCATTTCCCCTCACCTGCTTTCGGGCCCGTTTTGCGCTGGGCAGTCGCGCCCAAGGAGCGCGCGCGTCCAGCATGAGCTCATTTCTCAGGGGCGTTTCCAGAAGGCCAGCCTGGCCGCGCGCAAAAGGCGCAGTTGGCCTCCCTGTCTCAACAGCCCCGCCGCGGGGCGCGGCCGCCCAGAGGCGCTGCCTTTCTGGAAGCTTTGTCCCCACTTGAGCGCCTGAGAACTCGCACCCGGGGAAGACGCGGTATCCTAGGCGGAGAGGAGCCCGGGCGCGCAGACCTAGCCGCGCCCGCCGAGACCTCCCGTGGGTGGGGAGAGCCCCTAACCCTCTGCTCGCTCGAGCGCTCCGAGCCAACCCCGCCGACCGCAGCGGTTTCGGACCGGCTGTGTGGAGGGCCCGCGCTCCTCATCCGCGGTTTCCACGCCGGCTGGGAGCAGCCGCAGACCAGCCCCTCAGCCACCACCCCGGCCGAGCTGCGCCCCGCTTCTGGGCCCGCCGCCGGAGGCCAGAGGCCAATCACATGGCAGCTAGGTCTTGCGATTGGACGGCGGTGAGCGCCGATTGGCTACGCCACGAGCTTCGGCCTCCCTCCCTTTCCCTTTTGCCCCCACGCCAGCTCTGAAGGTTCAGGCCAATCAGAAGGCGCTTTATAGACGCCCTCCCTTCGCTTTTTTCTTCTCCCCACCTCGACGAGGGAGGAGACGTTCTGACTGGCCAGGCTGTCCTCGGAAGCCCCCTTCTCTTCACCAATCAGCGAGGGAGGAACACTCCCAGCGGAGTTTTCAGCCAATTACAAAGCGGCCGCGGCGCCCAGCGGTGCCGTTTCACCAACAACTCAGGGTTTCACCGTCCTTTAACTCTTCAAGCTTTTTCCTGAGGGCCGGCGACTCTGATTGGCCACTGTTGCCATTGTCGAATTTCTCTTCTACCCAGCCACAGAACAAGGCGAACCCACCTTCTCGTTCGGCTATCTTCGGCACTTTCCGCTTTTTGGGCGTGGATTTCCAGCGACACTTTGTAATTGGTTCCTCAGGTCCATCGGCTTTTTCCGGGAGGAGCCGCAAACAAACGACGTCCGTGATTGGCTCCGCTCGGTCTTCGGCTTCCCAGCCGAAGCGGGCGGGCGCGGGGCTCGGCCGGCAATTCCTAGACGCCTGTTACGCGGGCGGCGGGGCGCTGGGCGGTGTAAGGCTGGGTGGGGGAGGAAGGAGGCGGAGGACGAGTAGGAGGGGGGAGGGGGAGTGGGGAAGAGCTAGGCGGCTGCGCAGACGGCGCTCCTCACACAGAGCAGCCCCCGACCCGGGCGAATGCGGGCTTGTGCTGCCGCTGCTGCTGCCGCTGCCGCCGCCCGGGCCGAGTGACAAAGGAAGGAAGGAAGCGAGGAGGAGCCGGCCCCGCAGCCGCTGACAGGGCTCCGGGCTGGGGGCAAAGCGCGGACGCTTCCTGAGCGGGCACCGAGCAGAAGCGAGGGGCGGGAGGGCGGCCGCGCTGGTGCCGTGGACGGGGGAGGGGGCCCCGAGGGACGGAAGCGGTTGCCGGGTTCCCATGTCCCCGGCGTATGGGGAGCAGTCGAGGAGCCGCTGCCTGGGATCTGAAGGGAGCTGCCTCCGCCACCGCCGCCGCCATGGCCGCTGGATCCAGCCGCCGCCTGCAGCTGCTCCTGGCGCAATGAGGAGAGGAGCCGCCGCCACCGCCCGCCTCTGACTGCCTCGCGACTCCGCCACCCTCCAGTCCGCCGGATCCCGCCGCTGCCGGAGCCGCAGCGCTTCCCGTCGCATCTCCGAGCCACCCCCTCCCTCTCCCTCCCTCCTTCCCATCCCCCCTTCTTTGCAAGCGTGAGACTCGTGATCCTTCCGCCGCTTCCCTTCTTCATTGACTCGGAAAAAAAATCCCGAGGAATATATAATATTCAAAGTACTTATTTTCAATCAAGTATTTGTCCCCGTTGCACGTGATTTTTTTTTTTTTTTTTTAGGATTCCTCCTCCCCCCTTTTCTCCCCTACAAGGAAAGGGAGGGGAAAGAATTGTATTTTTTTCCCAGCCCCAAATCATCTATATGTTCAATATCCATACTGATCTGTCTTGAAGGAGAAATACATCGCTCGTTTTTTTTTATAGCTGTACAAGAGGAGTGAAAAGCCAAGTGGACGAAGTCTTTTTCTTTTTCTTGTGGGAGAACTTAATGCTGCATTTATCATTAACCTAATACCCCAACATAAAACAAAAGGAAGCAAAGGAGGAAGGAAGGAAAAGGTGATTCGGGAAGAGAGTGATCATGTCAGGGCGGCCCAGAACCACCTCCTTTGCGGAGAGCTGCAAGCCAGTGCAGCAGCCTTCAGCTTTTGGCAGCATGAAAGTTAGCAGTGAGTATTGATTTTATTTTATCCCCCTTCTTCACCTCACCTTTAAAATAAGAGACCTTGAAATACTAGAATCTTAAGATGCTAGATCTCCTGATATAACCATCAGAGGTAATGGAAAAGCGCAAAAACCTGTCTTCAGTCAAGGATGAGGCAGCTCCCTCTTTTCTCCTCCCATACCTCCCCCGGTCTCATTAACCTTGAGTGGAGAGAATATGATTTTTATTTGGATGATTCGATTTGAAACACTTCTTAGACTTTTCTTGCTGGTGGTAGTCAGCTTTATCAAGTGCTTGAGTATTTCCATGTTAAAATAGCGATGGGAGTGTTTACTTGCTCATCCTTTGGAATAAAGAGAAGGACAAGACTTGATTCATAAACCATTATGTGCATTTGCAGAGTCTGTGTCTCTTGGAATGAGGAATATTGTAGTTAGCTCAGATCTCTGGGCTTATCATAGTTTTGTACACTTAATAGAGAGCCTTAATGTCACAGGCTTCTAACATTTCTCTCTTGCTTGTGTGACTATACGAAGTGTTTGTTCTTTATCCAGAGATAAACTTGCTCAGTGACCAGCAGTGGCGTCTGGGGGCGAGCATCGATTCCTCCCTTAGAAGGGGCGGGTGGGAGCTGATAGATACCAGTAGCAGGAGTATGTCTACATGCATTGTATTAAATTGGATAAGTGGTTTAATATGTTCTCTCTTAACTTTTCTGCTTTGACATTACCGATCTACTACTATATAATTTATGTTTAATCAAAAGGTAACTTGGAACTAGGTCTGAGTTTTGATTGAGGTTTTTATTGTCATGTTGCCACATTCCAAGTTGAATGTTAATTGTCACTGACTCATCATTTAAGTTCAATTTTGGGGTGTCATTGCATTCAGTATTTGTTAAATAATCTAGACTAAAGGGGTCCTTTTTTAGGACTATTTAAAATTCTCTGGCGTTGGTTTCCTGTCGTATTTAGATAAAACTATAGACTTAGTTATAAGAATATGGATTTTAGACCTTTCCGTCATAGATTTTGCAGAGCACTGTGGTCCTGGATATAATAGGGATATTTGGGCTGTGTTCAGGGTTGTTGCTAGACTGTACTCTTGTCCCAGATTTGTGCTGAAAGGTCTGTGTTCTTGAGGTGTTTGGTATACTAAGTATCCGATATTCTAATGTATCTCTCTCTATTTGTGGATATGTTTCTGTGATATTTAATGACAGCTTATTTAAATATACTTCCAGAATTTGACAAAAATATATTGTTTTCTTATTCCTTGAGAAAGGGGCATGATGAGGGCAAAGAATACTATTTTGTTGCCTAGGAGAAGAAGAGAACTGAAGAACTGAGATTAAAAAAATGTGTATGCTGTTATATGAAATTGATTATAACCTTAGGCAACATAAAATGATCACTTTTAATTGAACTCAGGATTTCAATTTATGTTGGCTTTTGAAACTTGCGTGAAACAGGGTAATCTAAGGTAATAGCTGAATGGGAGATTATTTTTGAAAGTTAATTTTTTTTTTGGTGACTAGCTAGTACAGAATGCAGGGTATGTGAAGAGAAAAGCTGACCATGCGTCTTTCAGGGAAGGGTCAAGCTTTCTAAGCACTTCATGGGGTCATTTAAAAGGAATATTTTAAAATTCAGGCGTAATTTTCAGCTATGATGAAGCAAATCTTATAATAGCTACTTAAGAGCCTCTTGTGGCACTGGAGTGTTTGTATGTTTTTCTCCTTGGTAATATAGTTTAAAAACCACTTGAAATCAATTTTAGGTAATTAATTTGTTAGATCTGTTTCAGAGAGCCAAATAGAATAGCTTATAATGTTAAAATTTTGGGTTTTTTGTTTCCATGATTTTCTTTGAAAATGACTCCTTAATTCTCCGTAGTGTGGATGTTGACTGAGGATGGAGTAACTCTTGTAAAGTCTGTAGGTTAAAAGGTGTGATTTTCTATTAACATATAGGTCAACTTAACATTTAAAAAGTTGGAGTTCGACGCTAATTATGTGTTTTTGACAACCTTGACTTGAAGGCTTTTTTAGAAGAAAGGGGAATCGTTAGGCGTTTGTTAGAGTGCTAGTGTTCTAAGGGACCCTTATTCAAAAGAGAGATAAGTAAGAAATGATTGTCTTTGGCCTCAAAAGCTTATCATTTAGTTTTAGAAGCAGGTTATGGGACAAAATAGGAAAACAATAGCATGATGACTGAAAGATTATAAATACAAATAGAATGTTTTGTTCAGAGGGACAAAGAATAAAGGGATGAGGCAGATGGGTTGGAGAGGAAGTGTGTTTTAAGACAGGTGTTAAAGGAGGCGGTAACTTGAATTGATAGAGAAGCATAAAGGATTCTTGATGGAAGGAATGAACAGAGGCACCGAGATGGCGATTTTTGTATGACAGATAAATGATTTTTGTGTTTACCAAGCAAGTTGGTAAATCTGAATTAAAGGGACCTGAATAGGAAAGTAAGAAGAGATGAAATTTGAGAAATGCGTTCATGTTTGTGCTGATGAAGGGCAGAGGGGGTCTGTGAGTTTGGTTGAGATTGAAGAGAGATGGGAATTTACTGTAGGTTGCTGAGCAAGATATTTGAAGGTGATTTGGGTAGCTGAGTTGATGGATTAGAATGGAGACATTAGAGCCCTTTTAGGGAGGTAGTAGGGTATGTTGTGAATCATGAGCAAATATAAAGTAAAATGTGAAAATGGGATGAAAAGAACATATTTGAGAGACAGTGTGAATGAAGAACTGGCAGGACTTGGGTTTGGATTGAAAGGGAATATTTGGGAAGGAGTCAGGAGTTAAAAATAAATTCTGATGTTATTGGTCTGGAAGACTTGACTGCCGAGTTATATTGTTGATTGTAATGGGAAAGTTGAGAAAGTGCTGAGATGAGAGGGTAGATGAGTTCATTTTTTAAAAATTTAATATACAATAGGTTCCCTTGAAATTCAGCAGACAGCAGTTGGTTACTGGCAATGATATTTAACTTTTCATTCTATTAATTGCACAGTTTCTAATTTTTCTATACCTAAAAATATCAGATTTATTTTTGGGCATAGTAAACTAAGGGTTTTTATTTAAACGCTTTCCATTAAAGTCCTAACAAAGAAAATAATATTTTATGTAGATTCAAAAGCCTCACGTTTGAAACCTAGTTATAATAGTTCCATGATAATTTATATGAAAATATTTTTTGGACTAAACTGTGACTTAAAAATTTCAGATATTTTATATAGTCTTTAATTTTGGTACTTAAAATTTGTTTTTCATAAATAATAATTATTTTTAGGTAAACTTTGCATTTAGAATAATGGTAATAATAATAATAATGCAGCGTTCACTTGGGTTGTGAAAGCTGTAGCAGAAATTAAAAGTTGTTTTTATAACAAGTTTTTGCCTTTTTTGTTAAGCTAAACATTCATCTAAAGTTTAAGTCAGTATATGTGAAATATTTCTGTTTGCTTAATGTGGTGGGACCAACGTTTCTTTTTTGTTCATATCCAGATTCAAGTGTTCTTAAATAAGTGTTAATAGCTATGCAGTTCCTGCTGTGGAATCATGTGATATTTTACTCAAAGTAGAGAAAATAAGGGACTGTCTGTGGTGATTTTGGTTAAAATATTAGTAATCTTTTTGTTATACTGTTGGTGAAAATTTAGCTAATTGCCTAGGTTTAGTGCTTAAATATAAGATTTGGAAAGAGGACAATAAGTCAGTGAGTATCACTTATTTCCTCATGTGAAACGTTTTTAGGTAAAAATTTTTTTAGTGAAGAGAGATAATAGTAGTTGCATATTTTTGTGCAGTATTTCGAATTTAGCCAATTTCTAGATATCCATGTTATGTGGAAGAGAACTCATGTGTGAGACTGAAAACCAGAACCTTCTTTTCTTTTTTACAACTTTTTTTTTTTTGGTGAGGAAGACCAGCCCTGAGCTAACATCTATTGCCAGTCCTCCTGCTTTTTTCCTCCAAAGCCTCAGTAGATAGTTGTATGTCATAGTTGCACATCCTTCTAGTTGCTGTGTGTGGGACGCGGCCTCAGCATGGCGGGATAGCAGTGGGTGCGCGCCTGGGATCCGAACCCCAGGCTGCCAGTAGCGGAGCGCGCACACTTAACCGCTAAGCCACGGGGCCGGCCCCCAGAACCTTATTTTCGTTGTTTTCATTCCTTTCCCAATCAGACCTTTCCAGAGTTGTAAAAACACTAAGACCTTCATGGAAGAATTGCATGCTGTCTTGTTGCATGAGCCTGTAGAATGCTAATTGTGAAATGACCGTAAGGCACAGGCACTAGGAAAAAACTGCAAGGGAACCCAGAGGTTCACAAATCAATTTAGGTCTGGTTGGGAATTGGATTTAGAAAGTGAGGTGATGTCTTCTCATTTCACTGGAATAGTTCAACTGAAAATTAGTACTTGCACCCTGTGCTCTCTGCCTCTTGTTTTGGACTTGAGTTGCATGTGTGAGATGCTGTTTTGGAGAAACAGTGAGGCTGAGAAGCCAGTGTTTTTTAGGTGTCAGCAGCAGATTCTGAGAATGGGGGAGCTCTATTTTTGTGTGCTCTTTAGGTATAGAGAAGGCTGTGAAATATGCATGTGCTGACCCTGGTGCCACAATTCCATACTTTTTAATAAGACTCATGGGATTGTGAGACAGGGATGAGGATGGGCAGGCTGTGAGACTGTGGTGTCTCTTGTGATGCTCCACCCTACAATGGAGAATGGAGGGGCAGAGCACGTGGGTGTGATGGGAATATATGCTGATACTAACAGGACCAACCTGATTTCCCAGATATTGTTCTTCTAAGAGCGTAATCACCATGAGTAAATGAATTTGTTGGAATGTTTAGCATTATTTTCTAGCATTTTGGGGGGTGTGTCTGGAAAGGGAATCTTGCATGGTTTCAAGGATAGAAGTATTTTCCTGGTTCATTGGTTTTAAAATAGAGGTCGCAATCTTTGCTCCTATCTTGGGTTGTACAAAGCTTC